CACATCAATGATGGGAGAAGTGACTGGATGGCCAGGGGTACAATCTCTATGAAGATTAAAGGATGTCATAAGACATTCGTTGATTGGGCTATAGCTTGTCTCACGACTTGCTGCACCCTGGTTGACAATATATGTGAAGCTTGGAGCTCTTTCCCGATCACGTTGCAAAGGGAGTGAAGAAATTCACATGACTTACATGTCTTAGGAGTTTGTTAGCTGCTGTTGTTTACAAAACCCAGATGCTCTCGCCCAGTGTTTGGTGGAGTAAACCTAATGGCTTCAACGGCTGTCGCCGGAAAGACAATCCTCTAAATGAAATGAAAAATACTATTAAATCAGTTCCGACGGTTCGTTGCCACAATGTGGAGACGGCCATGTCCTACAGGGAAGGATACGTAGAGTGCTCCTCGAGCTCTATGGTTAATAGGGTTTCTTCGGTTTCCTTAGAGGCAGATGTGAATTGTTCTGGACGGGGTTCATCATCTGGGGCCATTACTAGTTCCACGTCAGATGTGAATTGTACTGGACGGGGTTCACCATCGGAGAATATTACTAGTTCCACCGCAACTAAAGTCAAAAGCTTTTATTGCAGTCCTGAAAATGACTTCTCGAAAGGAGGTCGGATTCGGGATAAGATTATTACTGGTCCTTTCAAAGGTATCAGGATGGAGGAAGAGTATCGGGCAGTGAATGAAGGCCAAAACCCAATTCCACTAACCTTTGCTCTACCACCGATTAAGCCCAACACAGTTTACTGTGCGGCGCCATCCAAAGTAGCAAAATCAGATGAGATGGTGGTACCACTCATCCCAAAAGGTTTAACTACACTTGGTCGAATTGGCAAATTCTGTGATGCTTCTCAATCCGAAGAATCTGACTCGCAAGAACCAGAGGATCCATATTGGGAGGCTCTGCACGTATTCCTAATATTGGGTCAACCAATAGCCAGTCGTCGGAATTGGACTTTGTTCAATTCATTGGTTCTTCCACTGGTAGTTCCAAGTCGGATGGTTCGAATTTTGTTGCATTTATTGATTCATCTGATGAACAATTGAGCTCCACTCACAGTGATGATGATGGAGAAAAACCAGTATCCGAAAACTCAGTTGAGTCTTCTGTACCAAGTTTGCAGGCAGCGCCGCTGGGTTGCTTTGCTTCCCGCCGCAAACAGATTAATGCTGTCAATGACAGTGAACGGTGTGTTACACCCGTAGATCAACAGGAGAGGCTACCTAGTAACCTTCTTCCATTTACAAACTCAGTCACTGATGCGCGTCTTACTCCCCAAGCAATCCGCACATACAATTGGCTTCGAGAATGTAACATTATTTTTGGGAAGGGATCTAACCAAATCAAAGCACAAAGCATGCTTAAAGACTCTGTATTATTTGGAATTCATAATGTGACTTCAGATATAACGCAAGTCGATATTTGGACATTTCTCAAAGCACGCCTTGATGTTGCTCAGATTGAAAAAGTCCGTGCAGTATTAAAGGTGCGCCAACCCTTCAAAAGACTCAGATATAATGTTTGGGTCTCCCCAGACTTGGCCACTGGTCTGGGGAAATTATTAGAACTGACCTATGAAGATAGACAGTTATTGACGTGCACCTTGATGTCCCGTAAGACTCAAGATTTCTGGGTTGAGGGTCAGCCTAAGTTGGATTGTTTCTCTGTGAAGGCCTGGCGAGTTAACCTTGCTAAGGACTGGAGGGATGCTGTCGCACCTAGATCACTGGCTCCAGCTCGTGCACCTCAGAATGATAAACGTAATCCTTCACTAGTTGCTTGGAACTCCAATGGCTTCAACTACAAAGACATGGCCTTGGAAAGCCTTGCAAACCGCACAAACGCTGCAGTTATAGTGTTAGGAGAGCATCTACGTAAAGTAGAAAATTACGAGCCAAAGATTAGAAACTTTCGCTCATATACTCATCCAGCCAAACCTGGTTTCCGGGGACTTTGTATGATGGTTAGAAACGGTGTTGGTGCATATGAAAAGCCAACCGGTGTTCCAAACATCATGCATCTAGTAGTCACTGGACTGGATGATAAATCAGCTTGGCATATCTTTGGAGTCTACTTACAGTGGATCTAATCACGGTAGGATGCGAAAAACTCAACTCCTGCCAGTTTGGGAGATTGTTAACAAGCTCTTAGACAAAGATCCAGAATGCAAAATTGCAATTGGAGGTGACTTCAATATGTCCAAGAGTGTTCTAAGTACATTGGCAATTCGAAAAACGAATGGTCAGATGACCGTAAAGCCATGTACCGGTTCACACTTAACACGTCTTCCCCGCAAAGGAAAGCGTAATGGAATTGATCATTGGGTGATCTCATCTTCTCTGCGTGATTTGACAGCTAATGTTAAAGTACAACGGGAGATGTCCATATCATACAATGGCCTTTCAGATCATGCAGCTGTTCGTATGAACCTGCGGACAAAGAACTCACATTCCGAGTCAATTAAAGCCCCAAAGAAATTTTGGGACAGGAACCTGCTAAAGGGTAACTCTTTTGAGCTTCTAGTAAACGACGCTTGGGAGGGTTTCAACGAAGCGAGTGAATTAGATGATATGAGAGAAAACTACCAGACTTGCCTTGAGAAAGCGGCAGAAGAGATTGGCATTCTAAAGACAGGTGCAGTAGGACGCAAGTCCCACTACCCTCGTAAAATTGCTAGACTCTTACGCGCAGCACGAAAGGCAAAGGATGTCTATCTCTCTATCAATAAAGGAGCCACCCCAGTCTCAGAACTGGTTAGACGTGCTAGAATTGCTGAGGAAGCTTCTCGACGTGCTTCAGTTGCTATCCGCAAGTTTGAGAAAGAACAAAAGGCTCAAACACAGCGTAAGGCCGTTGAATTACTCCGTGGACATGACATGCTTGAATACCACAAGGAAATCAAGCGTCGATTGCCAGATCATTTTGGAAAGCGTAAAAGCCAACCAATCCCTTGCATTAATGCAAAGGGAGCATTATGCGTGACGGAAAGTGACATCAATCTCGCAGAATTTGAACACTTTAGCCAATTAGCTTTGGATTCTACAAAGGTTTCCAAAAACGCCGCTTTCTGGGAGAACCTCACTTGTGAGGACGAGCCCCTAGATTGTGGAATTATTGGGTCTGAAGTCACCCCACAGGAGTTCCTTTCGGCATGTAGCAGAATGAACCCTAATGCAGCTTGCGGGATGGATAATCTCCCCCCAAGTCTCTTTAAAGAGATCTTGAAGCATGAGCGAGGACAGTTTGTTGGGATGCTAAATGCAGCGCTTGACGAAAACACTTCCCCCGACCTCTCGCGGAAAGCGCTCCTTAAGAAATTATTCTCAAAAACTGAGAGTCCGGCTGAGATTTACCGAGGACCAGATGGCGCTATCTCATGGAAATGGGATACACAAAATCTACATGTTCCGGTCAAACTCACGTCAGACAGATTAGAGCAGGTTAAGACCAAGGCTGGTACTTTCTACCAACCCTTGGATCACGTCTACCACCCAGTGCCTATTAAGGACATCTACTCTCAATTGGTGACGCCTGCAGGACAATACGCATTGCTCATTATTAACAAGTCGCTAGAAAAAGGCCGTCCAGCCGCGGCTGACAATAATAATGTGGTTGTCTCATTAACTAAACCGAACAAAGATCCGGTTGTATTAAACAATCGACGAGGTATAACCCTCTCGACTGCCTTCAACAAATTGACTATGACCATCTTGGAAGACCGAATGAGCCAGATTCTTAATGAAAAAGGTTTCTTCACCGAAGATCAGGGTGGTTTTAGAAGAAATGAAGAGGGGATTTCACAATTTCTCTGTCTGACAGAGGTTGTTCGACGAAGAGCTAATGTTAATAAAAAGACATACGCACTCTTCATCGACTTTCAAAAAGCATTCCCTAGTGTTCCTCACGAAGCACTCTGGAAAAAGCTTAGACATCTCGGGATTCCCGAGAATGTGATTAATTTCCTAAACTCTGCCTATGAAAATAGTGAGTTTAGAATACGTACTGGAGATGAGCTCTCAAAAAGCTACTCCATGGAAGTGGGTACAAAAGAGGGCTGCCCTCTTTCACCACTCCTGTTCATCATTTTTATAAATGACCTGTTTAAGAAACTGCCCGGAGTACTAGTACCTGGGATAAAGACATCTGAGGGTAATTTCACAGATAGAGGAAAGTTGTATGCAGATGATGCTGCAGCATTCTTTGATTCCATTGAAGAACTCGAGGAAGGGTGTCGGATTATTTCTGAATGGGTAGATAAATGGCAGACCCTGAAAATTGGACATGCAAAATGTGCGGTAGTAATGTATGGTGAGAGGGACCTTGAAAAAAGAGAACTTTTCTACAAAACATACGGAGCTCCCACATCATCAGATGGAGATGTCGAAAAAAGGCATTTCTCACTCACTGACGGCCAAGTGTATGCGCAAAGATCATATGTATACCTCGGGATCCCAATTGGTGACTCCTTGGGTATTTTCTATGATGAGGAAACCGTATACGCTCGTGGAGTAGCTCAGAAGGTGAAGGAGCGAGTGGGGCAATTCACTTGCTTCCTCACTGATAAGCGAAAGCCAATCACTGAGAAAGTGTTCTTGATCAAGACTTATATCTTTCCAACTGCCTTGTACGGAGGCGAATGGTTTGGTATGAATAAGTCGCGCACTGCGCCGATCCAAGAACAGATTAACAGGGCCCTAAGAATGGTCCTCGAAATACCAAGGAGCAGGCGCAATGTAAATTTTGCACAAGTCTCTTGGGAATTAGGCATACCTACTGTAGAAGTAGCTTGCGCCACTGCTCGCCACCGCATCTTTGCAAAGGCAGCAGAATTAAAAACAGATGCAAGAGTAATCTTGACAGATACACACAAAGCAGGTCAGAAACAGACTTGGAGTGCTATCACCCATGCCGTAGTCAAAAAAGCTACTGCAAAGATTAACAAAATGACCTCCACACCAGAGGACGTTTCCGGACCCAAATTGGAGTCTTCA